CCGCCCCCCTTAACCCTCGCCGGGCCACCGGCCTGCGGGTGTCTGCCTCGCCCTCAATACGCTCCCCACGGCGTCCCCGATTCTTTGAGGCCACCCTGCCGAGTCGGGCTGCCGGCCGCGAGGGCAGCGGGCAGTCGAGGGGTCCGGGACCCCTAGTATGGGCGCAGTCCGTTGTTCTCAGTACGTGGACGAGCCTCCGGCTGTCGCTGCCTCCTCGCCGCCGCGGGGCTCTTCCGAAGCTTTCACGGGCGGCGTGGCGGGCTGTTTCGAGTCATGGTCTCCGAGGGCAGCTATGCGATCTCTCTTGGCTGCACCAGTTGGAAGCTGCGCCTCCCAATGGGGTGGAGGGCAGCGGCGTGGAGAGCGCAAGACTCTGGGTCGCGCTCTCCGACGCTGAGAAACCGGGACCCACAGCGGGGACCAGCAAATGAGCGTCCCACCTGCTCCGACTCAGGGAGGGAGATGCGTGCTGGTCCTAGGGGGCGAGGGCGGAAATGTTTCTTTGCCCCCAGGGCTGCTCTTCAGTCTGGTGAAAACTTGATTCACAGAAGGGCACCTATACCGGGGTACAGCTGGGCGAGGACCCCGGCCCTCTGCTCCTTCGCCGGGTGAACAGTGCCTATGTAAGAATACACCCTCTAGTCAATGCCCTGGAGGAGTCCTTCCGATGCGTGGGCGGGAGGCCAGGGCTGGACAAAGGGGACAGCTGCCCAAACGCCCACTAGTGCACAGGTTGGGTGGCACCGCTGGGAAGGAAGGATACTACACCTTCCCCCACAGCCTGTCCTCAGGATCTGTCCCAGAGCCTGACCCCCGGTCCCATCCCTGCCTCTGCTCTCCAGTGCCCAGGATACCCTTCCGGGACCAGGGGCCGGTAGCCAAGCCTGCCGATCAGATATGAACCTGAGCTCCCACGTAGGTGAGCCCATCCCCAGGGAGGGCTGCTCTGTGCTCTGTGAAAGGAGGCCAGGAGGGTCAGGCTGGCTGTCCTTCTGATGCTGGGCCCCCCCAGGCACTTTTCAGTTGATGATCTCACCTGGGAGCAGGAGAGGAGAAACTGAGTAGGCGCTGACACACACTTAGTTCTTGGTCTGGGACCTCTGCCTGGCCAGGATTCTCCCCATACCTCTGTGAGACCCCTCCCTTGCTCTCATCAACTCCTGGTCATCCAGAAAAACCCAGGACCAGAAGCTGCCCCCCCTGTCAGTACTAATTACCTGGCTTGGAGTGCTCTGACTCCAACACCAGGCTTTGCTGGGACCCTTGGCAGGGGCTGCTGAGGCCTGTGCCTCTGATGGGCATGGGCTGGGGGGGTGGAGTAAAAGCCCTGAAGGGGCACTTCCAAGCCATGCTCTAGATGCCACTCACTCCTGAGGAGGGAGATCCTGGCTCTGGCCTCAGCTTCATGGGGGCATCAGGAGCTCCCCCAGAGAAGCAAAAAAATGATGGTGAGTTGGGGCTCCCCAGGTCTGCACCCAAAGCTCTCTAGGGTTTTGGCTGCCCTCACTATTGGGCCTGTAGCCCCTTGGGCACCTGCCCCAAGGGGTGAGGGAACTGGCAGGGGTAGGACAAGGGTCTAGGTGACAGTGCAAGGGGCAGGCTCTTTGACTGTCCAAGCCTCCAGCTATGATGGCCCCTGGGGTCAGACCACAGGTCTGGGGTCAGTCCACCAGCCCCTGCTCCAGGAGAAGAGCAGGTGGAATAAGGAATGGAATAAGATGGAATATGTTCATGCTTCATAGACAGCCAGGCAGGAATCCAATCAGACCCAGCCAGGGCCTCCCTGGGGAGTCTGGCCACCTTGATCCTGATTCTGGGGGCCAACTTGCTGGTTTGGCCTTCTATTAGGGACTCTTCTGACTAGCTGCCTGGGGCATGCTGACCCTCTCCTCTCTGGGGTCTGGAGCGGCTGGCTGGGCTGAGGGCCCTGTTCTTCCTGCCTAGACCTGGACATTTCTTCATTCATGGCATCTTGCCAACTTTGGGCAGCCTTGGGCAGGAGAGGGGACTGTGCCCAGCCATCCCTATTCCAGGAGCTTCCAGATGCAGCAGGAAAGGGAGAAGGCAGACTCAAAGAAGCCCTACTTCCCACCTGCCAGGATTCTGGGCTGATAAAGCAAATGTTTTGCTGTCCCTCAAATCACGAGGAAGCCCATACTCCCCTCATTCCATCCAGGCCCCATTCACCTTTGTTCATTTCTGCAGCTGCACCTCCCAGTGGTCAATAGGGGGCCAGAGGGACCTGGGATGCCTTCTGTAGTCCTACAGGAACCCAGTCCCAGGGCTTGGGTTTTGCTGAGTGGCTGGAGCTCCCCACCCCATCCCACTTCGAGGAAAGCAGAAGGAGTCAGCTCTCTTGGCCCAGGGACCATGCTCCCATCCCCTGGCCTCAGCAGGAAGCAAGTTCACCCCTCAAGAAAGTCAGCCTCCTGGGTGGTGGTGGAGGAGTGGAGTCACGAGGACAGCACTTGCTGGAAGAATACGGATTAATGGGGTTTGGAAGCATGTGGAGCTACTGTCATTCCCATCCCACTGGAGGCCAGGACCAAAGGCAAGACTGCTGAGAGGGGGCATTCCCAAGCCAGAGTCCCCCAGCTGACCAGTGGGAGCCCCTCTGGCCTGACTGGGGTTGAGGTGGGAGTCCTGGTCCAGGCTGCAGGTCCTAGACCCTCCTAGGCCCACTCACCTAGGCCTCCAGGGTAGCCTCACCTTCCTCGTTTGTCTGAGGAGAGGACTGGACGGGTTGACTGTCACTGCCTAGGCCAGGCCGGTTTGCTACCCGCCTGCCTGGGGGCAGCTTTTCTTCCATTGGGAGGTGCAAGCTTCAGCTAGTCCTCTGCAATGAGTCCTCTGCTCCAAGCAGGGGTGGTTGCTGGGCTTTCTCTTCCCAGGGGCAGAACAGGGATAGGTGCCCTTGGGCCAGTCACCATGTACATGATCATCTCCAGGGAGTAAAAGGTTTGGGCCACTGAAGGAGCTTCTTACATCTCCCCCAGCAAAGCCAGGCCTCACTCAGGCTCAGCCTGACTCCCACCCCACACATCTGGAACAGAATCCAGCTCAGCAAGTGAAGGGAGGTGAGAAGGCCAGGGTGCGAGCGGGACTGTCATGGAAGTCAAGGGTCAGCACCCCACCCTCCCCACTCCCCAGTGGATGAGCGGGCAGGAAAAGGCCACATGGGCAGGAAAGCAAAGATGTGACCCTCCACACACTCTGTGGGCCTCACCTCCACAGGCCACTGCCCAGCTTTACCAAGCTCTGCCCAGCCCCCCTGTGGTGGTTAAGTTTGTGTGTCAACTTGGCTGGGCCTGGTTGAGTGGCTGGGCAGCTGGATGTAGTATTCGCCATGATGAGACTGGTAATCAACTCCATGATGGAATCTACTGTGAGCAGCTGAGTAGCTGCCTTTGGGTATGTGGTCTGCTTCCTGTATATAGGGAGAAGCCTTGGGAATGGTCTCTAGCCTATGGCACACTTGGACCCTGCATGTAGCCGTGTCATTGCTCAACAACCTGCTATGCTCTGCCGACCTTGGGACGTACAATGAACTTAGTCAATGGCCTGCAGTGTAGTTTGGTAACATCGGAACTGTGACTTTTTACTTGTCAACTTTGGGGCTTCTCAGCCTCAGCAGCCAGCAGCTGTCTGAGTGAAGAAACGCCTCTAGCTTCAGTGGGCCAGGAGCAGGAGGCAGAGCTGGACCCAAGGTTGAAGGGCTTTCACCCAACCCCTAGAGCCTGGCACTTTGAACTTGGACTTAAAGCCTCTAAATTTTAAGAATAAACTCCTGTTTGTTAAGGCCATCCCATTTGTGGTAGAATTCTCGTCAGAGTGGCACTAGGTAACTAGAACACCCTCCAAGCCCCTCCCAGCCCTTTGGCCTCAGGCAGATGGACACTGTTCACACACCCCCATTATGTCTTTCATGTAGATTTAAGTCCCCTTGGCTACTCTATCTTCATGGAGTGACACAGACCTCCTCTGGTTCTGTTTCTTTAGTCACCGCTAGTCCTGTTTGTGAGCTGGCCAGGAAGGGGGAGGGAACGGAATCAGTCAGTGCCATAAAGGATAGTTCCTGAGGCTCCCACTTCTGTTGAGTTGATAATCGTAGCTTAGCATCTCCTACCCGACTGTGTTTCCCTTACTCCCCACTGGCACCTCTACAGCTGGACTCTCATCAGGTGGGTGACTAGAACTTCATTCCCACACTCTCTTGCTCCTTAGCAGTCCTGCCTTTTGGGGGATTGCCCTAGTTTCCCACTGACCACTGCTACTTAAATTGGGAGGACTGGGATGTTCCAGACACCCTTGGCCTTCAGGGTAGCACAATCATCAGGTTCATCACCTTGGCCAGCATGGTCACCCTTTCTCTGCCAGTTCAATCAAAAGCAAGAGGAGCCAAGTTAGTGCATCCAAGGCTTTGGGAAGCGGGGGCCTCCAGCTCTGTCCTTTGGCTCCCAGACCCTGAACCTTGACTCTGGAGAAGCAGCCCCTGGTGGCCTCTGGCTTAAAGCATACTCCGAATGTCAGATAGCTACCCCCTTCCCCAAGTGGCTTCAGGAGGCTATGACACACTTCTATTAGGCCTGGGCTTTCAGGTGACAAAGGAGCCCTGGTGGTGCAGTGGTTAAAGTGC